TTCATCCATTTCAGATAAAACCTGCTTGAAGAGAAAATTAACAAGGGGTGGTGAGTGGTATCATTTGGTGTAAACAACTGTAAAACCTGTTCACTTTCCTCTCCTGGCCGCGAATTGTTCTGAGAGCCATAAAAGTTCATCATAAATACCAAGTGTATAAGGTTATGAGAAACACTTCGTGTTGCTGCAGGATTCATGTTTTAAGTAACGGTGTATTTATATGGGGCAGTTTTTCCTGGTATTATTACAGAACATCAAATGTTTTGAGTTGCTGGTTCCACATTTGATCTCACATCTTCCTGGGGCCAGAGGTGGGCGGGGCCCAGTTTCTGAAGATGAGGAGCACTGCCCCCCCTCAGACTGTCTCTGGACGGAACCTTCAGCCCTCCCCCTTGAGGCTGCCAGACGTGTTAGAGAGGGCCTTTCAACCTCCACAGGCCTCTGCAGAATGGCACAGAACAGCACACGAGGCCCTCAGGACTCCAGGGTGAGTGGCATTGTGGAAAGGCCACATCACACAGCAACCTCCATTTCATATTTATACAAGAGTGTTATTTTCAAGCTTGGTTGTAATTCTCTCTTGAAAAAATGAAACTAATAATTTTTTTAAAAAAAAATGTCGATCCTCATTCTATATGGATTCTGTACCTGAGGATTTGCCTATTTGTGAAAATTTGTTACCTCCAAATCAGTGCTTGTGAGACCCTGCTGACACCCTGATCTTGGACTTCCAGCTGCCAGCACTGAAAGGAAATAAATCTCTGCTGCTTAAGCCCCCAGGTCTGCACTATCTTGCTGTGGCAGTTCCAGCAGACCAATGCACCATGACAGCAGAAATCATGCACTCCCCCTCAGCATGAATGACTCCCTGACCACCCCGCCCTGCACTAAGTTTCTCTGGGACCAGTTCCCCAGAACATTCAATCTTCAAATGCAGACGGTTCTGGTGGCTTTGATCGGCTTTCCAACCCATGTCCCAGTACATCTAACTGACTTCACCCCCAGAGCCCTAGCTGCAGGGAGGCAGGGAAGGCAGTTTTCACTTCCAACCTCTCTCGGCCAGTGGAAGACGTGTCACCTGGGCCACCAAGGACCACAAAACAGAGAACAGTGTCACCACACCAGTGCTGGTTGTGAAACTTCAGTCTTATGCCTCTCTCTCACTCTGTCTCTTGGGAAAAGGCTTCACTTGTCCCAGCTGTAAAATGGGCTGATGCTTTGATCTGCTCTGCAGTCCCACAGAGAGGGCATAGTGCAGAATAACATAATAGGCAGTGTGTGCCCGTCATTAAGCAATTCATTCATAATTTAACTATTCATTCTCAAGTGCTTCCTGAGGCCTGGGGAAGGTGACTCACACTCACAATCCAGCCCCCAAAAGCCCTTGTTGTGGGGTTCCAGACTGACTGGCTCACTCTGTACTCACTCGTCCATCACCCATTTATCCAATAAACATTACCTGAGCCTCCGGGTGCCAGGGACTGGACACCTAGGGATGAACCAAATCCCCTCCCCACCCTGGAGGATCTCCCTGCTTTAAAGCACCATACAAAGGAGAAAATGTTAATTATTATTTTAAGTAATAATTATAGCAGTGCTACAAAGGAACCCAGAAGCTTTGGTAGGATATGGGCCAAATTTGCTGCCAAAAGAATTTTTGCCCTCAGGCCTGGGAAGTAAGGTAAGAACCACTTTCCTTCAATGTTTATTTACTCATTCACAGGGAGGCCCCAAGCTGGGAGCTGGCAACAGCTGGGTGTCTGTTCCTGAGCTGCTCACCAGAGCATGAGCAGGGCAGATACAAAAAGTAGTCCAAGCACAAGATGGGGAGGCCGGGGGTGGAGGGTGGGGGGAGGAGAGGGGGGCGGATGTAGAAGCTCAGATGAGGCCCTTCACCCAGATTTATTGGGGTGGGAGTGGTCTGGGAAGGCTTCCTGGAGGAGGAAGCAACTGAATGGATTGCTCAGGAGTGTAGGATGTTACCAGGTGAAGAATTGGAAGGAAGACATCTTGGGAGTCATTCCTTCTTTCTATTCCTCAGCAATATTTATGGTACACTCGAATGCTGGAGAAACAGCTGTGTGTGTGGACACTGACATGAATCGCTACTTAATTTGTGAGGCCCAGTGCAGAATGAAAATGCAGGGCCCCATGTTTTAAAAAGAGGGTTGGGGGGATCCGTGGGTGGGTCAACAGTTTGGCGCCTGCCTTTGGCCCAGGGCGCGATCCTGGAGTCCCGGGATCGAGTCCCGTATCGGGCTCCTGGCATGGATCCCGTTTCTCCCTCTGCCTGTGTTTCTGCCTCTCTCTCTCCCTCTCTCTCTCTCTCTCTCTCTTTCTCTATTATGAATAAATAAATAAAATCTTTAAAAATTTTAAAATAAAATAAAAAGGGGGTTGAGTACCTGGGTGGCTCAGTTGGTTAAGCAGCCAACCCTTGATTTTGGCTCACTCATGATTCTGTTCTGTTTTGTTTTTTTTTTTTAAGATTTTATTTATTTATTCATGAGAGAGAGAGAGAGATGCAGAGACACAGGCAAAGGGAGAAGCAGGCTCCATGCAGGGAGCCCACCACGGGACTCAATCCTGGCCTCCAGGGTCGCGCCCTGGGCTGAAGGCGGCGCTAAACCACTGAGCCACCTGAGCTGCCCCCCTCCTTTTTTTTTACCTCACTCATGATCTGAAGGTTATGAGCCCCACATCAGGTTGTGCGTTCAGTGGGCAGTCTACTTCGGGAGTCTCTGTCTCCCTCTGCCCCCCTTCCCCCCAATAAATAAATATTTTTTAAAAGTTAAATTTAAAAAGGAGGTTAAGAATCCCAAGATGGACCAGGAGGGCCCCACTAAGCAGGTGGGGGGGGCTTCTTTTTTTTTTAATCATTTTATTTATTTTTCATCATGACAAGTACACTCCTTAATCTGCATTCCCCCCCCCCCACCACCGCCCACCTCTCCTCTGGTAACTATCAGTTTGTTCTTATAGTTGAGTCTGTTTCTTGGTTTGTCTTTTTTTTTTTTCCTTTGCTCGTTTGTTTTGTTTCTTAAAATCCACATGAGTGAAATCATATGGTATGTATTTTTCCGACTTATCTTGCTTAGCTTAATACCCTCTATTTCTATCCATGTCGTTGCAAATGGCCAGATGTCATTCTTCTTGATGGCTGAGTAGTATTACATTGTATATATAACACACCTTCTTTAACCAGCAGTAGTCCATGCACATTTGGTCTCTTTTCATAGTTTGGCTATTGTTGATAATGCTTCTATAAACATAGGGGTGATTGTATCCCTTTGAATTAGTATCTTTGTATTTGGGGGGTAAATACCCAGTAGTGCAATTTCTGGATCATAGAATAATTCTATTTTAAATTTTTTTAGAAACCTCCATACTGTGTTTTCCAGAATGGCTGCACTACTTTGCATTCCCTTCAACTGTGTAAGAGGGTTCCTTTCCTCCACATCCTCACCAGCATTTGTTTCTAGCATGGGCGTTCTGAGCATGGGACCCTGTGCAACTTACAGGTTGCAATCTCATGAATCTGGCCCCGGATATGTTTGTATGACTTCTGTCACTTTTGAATAGACAACTTGACTTGGAAAGGGTTGAGTGGACTTATTTCATGTAAACAGAAGGGGGCAAGCGTCGTGTTCATCGTTGCATCTAGGATGGGCTTGCATTTATCAGTTAATAGGTAGAGTAAAAAATAGCTGTTTACCAACTCCTTACTCTACCAGACAGTGATCTAAGTGCTTTGTGTGTATTCACCCATGAAACTACACCAGGATCCTGTGAAGGGGTTACTATTCTAATGTGCTGCTGAATGCCAGACCTATGGATGCTGGTGAGTACATCACAATCCCCTGAAGGTCTTGTTAAAACAAGGTGCTGGGGCCCACCACCAGTTTCTGATTCAGTAGGTCTGAGGTGGGGGCCAAAAATTTGCATTTCTAATAAGCACCCAGGTGGTGCCTTGTGGTTGGTCTGGGACTTGACTCAGCACCCTTGGGCCATTGTGGTGGAGCAGTGATCATGCCTGAAGGAAAGTGGTATTGGGCTGAGGGCCTGGCCTTGTGGGACAAGGTGGCTGCTCTCCATATATTTGCGCACCCATGCCCTGGCTCAGTCCCACAGTCCTTTTTTTTTTTTTTTAATTTTATTTATGATAGTCATCACAGAGAGAGAGAGAGAGAGAGAGAGAGAGAGAGAGAGAGAGGCAGAGACACAGGCAGAGGGAGAAGCAGGCTCCATGCAGGGAGCCCGACGTGGGATGCGACCCTGGGTCTCCAGGATCGCGCCCTGGGCCAAAGGCAGGCACTAAACCGCTGCGCCACCCAGGGATCCCAGTCCCACAGTCCTTTTGAGGGTACCTTTTCTTTTTTCCTTTTTTTTTTTTTTAAGATTTTATTTATTCATGAGAGACACAGAGAGAGGCAGAGACATAGGCAGAGGGAGAAGCAGGCTCCACGCGGGGAGCCCCATGTGGGACTCGATCCCGGGACTCCAGGATCATGCCCTGAGCCACCCTGGTGCTCCTTGAAGGCACCTTTTCTGATTTGCATCAAAGCACCATATAAGCCAGAAGAATTGTGGATCTGAAGGGGTTCAATTAAGTGGGACCTTGCAGGCCAGTCAAGGGTTTGCACTGGAGAGTTTTAAGCAAAAGAATGACATGTTCCTATTTAAGATTTACGAGTCCTCTGATGAATGGAAAAACAAAATGTAATATGCATATATATAATGAATTATTAATCAACCCTAAAAAGGAAGGGAATTCATGCCACATCATGGATGAATCCAGAGGTCATTATGCTACATGAAATCAGTCCCACGAAGACAAATACTGTATAATTCCACTTACATGGGGTACAAGGCCCTAGGAGAGGAAGAATGGGGAGTTGTTTAATGAACAGACTTTCAATTTTGTTTAAGATTTTATTTATTCTTGAGAGGCATAGACATAGGCAGAGGGAGAAACAGGTTCTCTGCAGGGATGCGAGACTCCATACCAGGACCCCAGGATCACGCCACCCAGGTACCCTCAGACTTTGTTTTGCAAGAGTTCTGGAGATGGACAGTGGTGATAGTTGCATAACAACGTGTACTTAAACCCACTGAACTGTATACTTAAACGTGGTTAAAATGGTAAATTTTACATGTATCTTATCACATGCAAAAATGATTCCTCTGGCTGCTGTGTGAAGGGACGTGTACATGTGTACAGGGATAGGAGGCCGGAGCAGAAGCAGAACACTCTGGGGAGGCTGATGCTGTTGTCCAGGTGAGACGTCAAGGGAACTTGGGCCAGGTGACAGCAGCGGGAAAGTGGACAAAATGTGAGCACTTTATTTTATTTAATCTTTTATTTACTTATGATATGTCAGAGAGAGAGAGAGAGAGAGAGAGAGAGAGAGGCAGAGACACAGGCAGAGGGAGAAGCAGGCTCCATGCACTGGGAGCCCGATGTGGGATTCGATCCCGGGTCTCCAGGATCGCGCCCTGGGCCAAAGACAGGCGCCAGACCGCTGCGCCACCCAGGGATCCCTGTGAGCACTTTAAAGGCAGCGCCAACAGGGCCTGCTGAATAGACTGGACGTGGGGGGTGATGGAACAGGAGAACCAAGAGTGACCCTTCCATGTCAGGCCTGGACATCTGGGCCCACGCCAGGTTCACCTTCTCAGACGCCGAGGCAAGTAGGATTGAAGAAGCGCTTCTCTGCTGGGAGTAGGGAGCGATATAGCTCCTGCCTACCTCCGCTTTGGGTCAAGTGGGCGATGGGATGTGAGTGGGAACAAGCCCGGCGTGTTCCTGGAACAGAAAGGCCTCTCTGGCTGGAACTCATGAGGCAATAGTAAGGGGGGTGGGGGCAGAGAGGTGGGCCCAGCAGGAAGTTCCGATCCAGCCCCTAGCCGCTGGTAAACCGGGGGTGGTGGGGGTGTTACTTGGTTTAACCAAAGCGTCTTCACAACAGGAGCAAGGAGGTGGGGACGCCCTACGTCCAACGCTGCGCAGCGGCCCACGCGGCCTGTGAGTCGGCGTCGGCCCTGGGTCCACCTGCACACAGAGCTTCGGCCCATCTCCTAAGATTTCTGAAAACACCATCTTCCCGTCTCCGAGATGGGGAAACTGAGGCAGGCGCCCCGTCCGATGGGAGCACGGCGAAGACGTGTGCCCGGAGCACCCTCTCCCGATGCACGTAGGAGTGTGTGGGGGGGGGGGTGACTGAGGCCAGAAGCTGTGCGCCAGGCTCACGCGGGGGGAGCTAACCCGGGAGCCCAGGTCGGCCCGGCCGCGCCCGTCCCAATGCGCGCCAACTCGGACCCTGTCAGCGCCTCCGGGGCGGGGAAGCGGACGAATCGCGACCCGTCGTCACGGAAACGCGCCCCGAAAGCCTGACTGGCGCAGAACTCCGGTGGGGCCACTCTTCCTCGCCTGCCCGCCCAGACAGCCCATCTCCAACTTCCACCTGCCTCAAGACAACGCCGCCATGACCCCTCCTGCTCCGTCCCTCAGCCTCCCCGTCGGCACGTCTACGCATGTCCGGCCGGGCGCGAGCCAATGGGAAGCTCTATATGCATTCTGGGAAATGTAGTTCGAAGCCCGGCACCTTGAGAGGCCTTGTTTGCTTGGGCAAATAGGCCGCTGGCCGTGCTCGAAGCACCTTTGAAAATGTAGTTCAGAGTTACTGGGAGACAGGCAAGCGAGGTTCGTCACGGCGAGCGGTCAGTGGGAAGCGTCCTTTTGCCGCGGTGCTTCCTGGGAAATGTAGTTCTGGGTGAGGTCGGTGCGGGGAGGGGGCGCGGAACAGACTCGGTGTCTGAGGGTTGGGGGAGGGGAACGGGTGAGTTTGGCGCAAAGCCTGCCGGGGCATGGAGTCTCGGTGAGCTTTGTGCGCATGTGCGACGAGGTGAGGAGGGGGGGCTTGGGGGGCCTCGTTTGGGAGAGTGAGGTGAGCGAGGGGGAAGGGGGGTTAGGGGGCGGTTGGACGCGCTTTGGGGAGAGGGGGCTTGGAGGCCGGAGGGCGGTGGGATAGGGAGGCGGGGGGGAGGAGAGAAGAAGGGGGCCAAGCGAAGCGGGAGGCAGGCGAGGGGGATGGGAGAGGGAACGGGAGGGGGAGGGGCTGGGGGAGGTCGGGAAGGGGAGGGGGCTGTGGCCCCTTGCGGTGGAGAACGCGGGAGACTGGAAAACCGGGGGCGGGGTGCAGGGAGGGCCCGGGAGGGGGAGGAGCCGGGGTGGGGTCGGGCGGGAAGCGGGCGTGTGCGCCGGGACCCACGCCGGGGGGTCGGGGATGCGGCGGTCCTAGGGGGCGGGATTCGGGGAGTCCGAGCGTGGGGCTGCCCTCCGCGCTCCTCTCTGGGTGCAGAGCGCCGGCGTCGGGAGCCCGGTGCACGGGAGGCGGTTGGCCGGCAGGTGTACTGTGCCACGGGGCTGGGTTCGCCTCCCAAAGTTCCCCGTGCACTCAGTCTCTGAGCCTCAGTGTCCCCCGTTGGAGTGCTGATCCCCTATTCTGATGCTGGTTTAGATTTCCGTGGGTGCCCTGTCCCCCAGCACGTCCCGGAGCAACAGTTAAGTGCAGCCCCGACTCAGGTTGAGCGCCTGCTTAGCGCCAGGGACTGTTTTCCTCGGGTCTTGAACTCAAACTGTGACTTTTGCATGGAGGGTTTTTCTCCCCATTTTACAGCCTAGGAAAGCGGAGAGCCCGCGTGTAAAAGGTGCTGTTGTACCTAGGCCAAGGACAAATAACTGGTAGGCGGCAGAACTGGGATTTGCTCCAAAACTCTGTGCTCTGAGAAAATATTTGTCCTGTGAACCAGTGGCTCTCAGCCCAGGGGCAATTTTGCCTCCTAGGGGATACGTGGCAATATCTGGAAACATGTTTGGATATCACAGTCGCAGAGATAGCTGCTGGCATCTGGTGGAAAGTGGCCAGGGATGCTGATAAACCTTTCACACGCCATGGGGCAGCTGCCACAGTACGGAGGTATCCAGCCCCACGTGTGGCTAGTGCGGAGGTTTGCAAACCCGGCAGTGGACGTGCAAGTCTTCATTGAGCGCTTGCTGTATGACAGGCCACTTCTAATTCATATTCCTAGCAACCCCTAGTGGGGAAGAGCAGTTACCAGTCCTGTATTACAGGTGGAGAAATTCAGCCCACACAGGGGCAAGTCATGTCAAGGTCACACAGTGGATAAATGGCAGAGCGGAAAGTAGAAGCCACGCAGCCAAGGTCCAGAGCCCACCTCTTAACCATTTAATTACCTGAAGGCGACCTGCAGAAGTGCTGGTTGCAACCTTTGTGGGCTCTGGAGTCACGCGATTCCGTTTGAATCCTGCCTTTGAGTGTGCATTCCTCCTCACAGTGGTGCCCAATGCACAGAGCTGTTGGGACAGTTCCGGGGTGTGTGTGTGTGTGTGTGTGCCCGCAGTTTGAGACAGATGCCACTCGGTAGCTGTCTCCTAAGGCCTCCAGGGTGCCTGGTTGGGCTGGACACAGCAGTGGTAGAGATGCTTTAGTGGAGGTAGCATGTGGCACTGGACCTCAGTGGATGATAAGGATTGGTTCACATGGTAGAACGACCTAACTTAGCACTTAGTGTGTGGTTTCTCAGGGTATTGACCCCAGGATCCATAGAAGGGTCCAACTGGCCCTGCTCCTAGGGACTCACTGGCAGCTGATAGCTATCCCTGAACCCCCATGACCCCCCTTGAGACTGCAGGGCCCTTCGGCTTGATGCCTGAGGCCTAGCTCCCTCAGGTCAGATTCCCATCTCATCCAGGAGGGAGCTTTCTCATAGCAGGGTAGGCTTCTATACATCTTGGGAGACTCAGCTCTGGCCCCCGTCTTCTGGGAACCCTTCCCTATAACTCCCAAGCTAGTCAGTTCTTGAATGGAGGGATGGGTGGGCGGGAGGTGATGTTGCAGACTGACTGTGGAACCACACAGACATGGGTGTGAGTTTAAGCTCTGTCACTTATTAGGTGGGTGACTTTGGGCAAAATAACTTTATCTTCTCCATTTGCAAAATGGGGGCAATAATACTCATTTCATAGGACTGATCATCCCTTAAATTTTCTGAGTGCCAGCCAGCATGCTGGGCTCTGTGTGGTCTCTTGCTCTCATGAAGCTTAAATTCTGTTGAGGGAAGACAGCACACAAATATAACACCCCATCTTGTAAAACACTAAACAGAAATTAGTAAAGGAGACTGCAGGGAAGGGTGTGTGGATGCTGTGTTAATTGGATGGTTTGAGGAGGCTCTCTGACTGGGGAAAATTGCTTAGAGGTCTCAAAGAAGAGAAGGAGCCAGCTGAGCAAAGATTAAAGGTGAGAGAATAGCAGATACGAAGACCCTGGTGTAGGACTAGCCTTAGTCTGAGAACATGATACCAGTGTGGCTGGAGTATAGAGAGCCAGGGATAGAATGGTAAGAGACAAGAAATGTAGGCAAGTGCCAGACCTTGTGTATTAAGGAAGCAGTCAGAGGGTTTTGAGTGAGGAAGTGACATAACGTGATTTATATTGAGGAAAAAAACCCTTTCTGATTGTTGTGGGGTGATTTGCATCTAGAGTGGCAGGCTTAGGAATGGGGATATGCTAAGGGGGGCTGTGGCACTCAGCCCCTCTAGGGGACCTTTCAGCCCAGCCACTCACAGGCTAAGGATCTTTTCTCTTGACCCCCTTCGCTCTGCTGCAAAATGCAATTGGCCACAGAAATTTCTTGTATCAAAAGAAAAATCGTCCAAATGCAGACTTTCTTTTAAGTCTCATTGGTCAGAGTCCCCTGTCTACCTCCTGCCTTGTGGTCAAGAGAACTGTTCTATAGTTATGATCGATTGCAAGCAGCTGTAGCAAAGAAGCTCCAAAATACAGTGGCTCAAGTCAGATAGAAAATATTGTTTTTTTTCTCACGTAACAGTGCAAGAGGTGTTCTAGGTTGGGTCAATGAGGTGACCCACAGGGTCATCCAGGATCCCTTGTATGTTGGTCTTCCACCATCCTTTAGGTCAGCATGCATAAGCAAATAGGCATGGCCATGTACCAATAAAACTTTAATTAAAAAAACAAACAGGAATAGGACACCTAGGTGGCTCAGGCGGTTAAGCACCTGCCTTTGCTCAGGTCCTAATCCCAGGGTTGTGGGATTGAGCCCCTGCATCAGGCTCCCTGCTCAGCGGGGAGCCCACTTCTCCCTCACTTCCCTGCCTGTGCTCCCTCTCTCACTCTTCTTCTCTCTCAAATAAATAATCTTAAAAGGAGGGGGGCGGCTGGCTCTCTTGGTAGAGCATGCGACTCTTGATCTCAGGGTTGTAGGTTCAAACCACACATTGGGTGTAGAGAATACTGAAAGATAATATCTTTTTTTTTTATTTTATTTATTTACTCATGAGGGACACACAGAGAGAGGCAGAGACACAGGAAGAAGGAGAAGCAGGCTCCACGCAGGGAGCCCAATGTGGGACTCGACCCTGGGTCTCCAGGATCAGGCCCTGGACTGAGGGCGGTGCTAAACCACTGCGCCACCCGGGCTGCCCAAGATAAAATCTTAAAAAAAAAAACAAAAGAGGATCCCTGGGTGGCTCAGCGGTTTAGTGCCTGCCTTCGGCCCAGGGCATGATCTTGGAGTCCTGGAATCAAGTCCCACATCGGGCTTCCCGCATGGAACCTGCTTCTCTCTCTGCCTGTGTCTCTCCCTCCCTCTCTTTCTCTGTGTCTCTCATGAATAAACAAAATCTTAAAAAAAAAAAAAAGAAAAAAGAAAACAGGCTGCAGGCCAGATTTGCCCCATGGGTGGCTCTTTGGTTTTGAACTCAGGACCTTTTCATATTCTTAAAAATTATTGAAGATATCAAAGCATTTTTATTTTTATTTTATTTTATTTTTAAAAGATTTTATTTATTCGTGAGAGACACACAGAGAGAGAGAGAGGCAGAGACACAGGCAGAGGGAGAAGCAGGCTCCATGCAGGGAGCCCAACGCGGAACTCGATCTGGGGTCTCCAGGATCACGCCCTGGACTGAAGGCAGCACTAAACCGCTGAGCCACGCGGGCTGCCCTATTTTTATTTTTTTTTTTAAGATTTTATTTATTTATTTATTTATTTATTTATTTATTTATTTATTTATTTATTTACAGAAAGAGAGAGGCAGAGACATAGGCAGAGGGAGAAGCAGGCTCCTTTCAGGGAGCCCGATGTGGGACTCGATCCTGGAACCCCAGGATCAGGACCTGAGCTGAAGGCAGACAGACGCTCAACCACTGAGTCACCCACGCATCCCCCAAAGTTTTTTTTTTTTTTTTTTTAGTTTTATGGTTTTATTAACACAAATATGACACGCACATAAGCTGTCTATTCATTTTCTTCACTACGCATCCTGGCATTGGGATTGGTGACTCTGATGGCCAGCTGGGCTGCTCTTTCCACAATGGCTTTGTGGTTCTCGGAGGATACATTGTGAGAATCTTTGCACAATAAGATTTGTTGCACATCAGCAGCACATCAAGCTCCTTGAGTTGTGGACTAGGAACTTCTGGAAGCCACTGAGCAGCATGTGCTTTGTTTTCTTGTTGCTCCCGTAACCAATGTTGGGCATCAAGATCTGGCCCTTGAATCTTCTGCGTAATCTATTGTCAATGCAACTAGTTTCCGCCAGTTGCACTTAATTTTGACATACTGGTCTGACTGGTGCTGGATGAACCTCTTGGTCCTCTTTTCAACGATCTTGAGCTTCACCAGAGGTCTGAGAGCAGCCATGATGCCCAGCAATCAATGGCTGCCACTTCTGCAGGTGGTGCCAAGGAAGAGAGGGCCCCCAAAGTATTTTTAATTATAGCAGTTGTATCTGAGTCCATATCATATTAAAGAGTAAGGCCAAAGGAATTTTTAAGTGTTTGTTAATGCATTCAGAAATAGAAATAATTTTTCATATATGGGCATAAATAACATTTTATTTTTTTATTTTTATTTTTTTAAAGATTTTATTTATCTATTCATGAGAGACACAAAGAGAGAGACACAGGCAGAGACACAGGCAGAGGGAGGAGCAGGCTTCATACAGGAAGCCCGACATGGGACTCGATCCTGGGACTGCAGGATCATGCCCTGGGCTGAAGACAGCGCTAAACCGCTGGGCCACGGGGGCTGCCCATAAATAACATTTTAAATGGAAAATAGCCATGTTTTTAAAACAAAAAATTGGAAATGTGACATTATTTTTCTGCAAATCTCTCTAATGTCTGACTTAAAAAAGGACTGTGGGGTTTCACATCTGCTTCTGCATTGAGCCTGTGTTCATACAGCCTCTTGGGTAGAGGGATTCCACCAAGGAGGAAGGGGAGAATGGGTGTAGGTGAAGCCCTGCAGTCCACCATGTTTCCCCTTCCCCAGACGTGATCAGGGGCCATTGGTGTATGGGTCAGCATGGGGAGCCATGGGAATACCACAGACAGGGGCTTCAGCAACAGGCATTTATGTCTTAGCTCTGGAACCAGAGTCCAAGGGCAAATGTAGGCAGATTCGGTGTCAGAACCATAGGCACAGAACCACAGTCAGCCAGCATATGTCTCACGGAGGATTTCTATTCCCCTGAGGGCATCAATCCCATCCCTTTCAGGCCTCATCCCTATGGCTTCCCTTAGTCTCTTTTCCCCATTTTACTGAGATGGGATTGGCCTACGGCGTTGTGTTAAGTTACACATGACAATCTGACTTGAGTACATTGTGACGCAGTCGCCATGGCGAGTTCAGGTCACGTCTGTCAACTCGCACAGTCACACTTGTTTCTTCTTGTGAGGAGAACTCATAAGTTCAGCCCCTTGGCAGCGTTCGGGCAGACAGCACAGTCTCATGAACCCCAGCCACCATGCCATGCATTAGATTCCCCACAGCGTCCTTGTGCTCTAACCAAAGCTTTTACCTGCTTCACCCAACATCGAGTGCTCCTAGTCACTCCCCAGAGCCCACCTCCAAATACCGTCGTGCTGGGGTTAGAACTCCATATGGATTTGGGGGATCGCAAATCAGGAAGCAGTTCAGGTGGCTTTAGACCTGGCATCCTGAAGCATCTGCTCCCGGGGACGCTGGGGATGTGGGGTGAGCAGTTACGATGACAGTGGCTCTGATGAGAGCTCTGGGACTTTTGAGCTCTGGCTGGTGCTGCACTCTGTTCCTAGCTTTTTGTATGCTCACTCCTCACATGAAGCCGAGAGGAGACTGAGGAATAGTGGGACCCACAGTCACCCCCAGGGAAGCGCAAGGCCAGGATCTGAGCCCATTTCATTCCAGGACGGGGATCTGAATCTCCCCTCCTTTGGCACTTGCTGTGTGCAGGGCACCTTCCTTCTCAGGCACTCCTGCCTTGGCTGTACAAGGTAGGGGAGCACTTCAACTACAGGGGGACACTGAGACACAGAGAGGCACCAGCACTTAAGCCAGGTCACTCGGCTCCTAGTGGGCATTGCTAGGGATGCACCTGGCAGGAGGCTGTGGTCTCTAAATCACTGAGCCAGGCTCTCACAGCGCTGAACCTCCCTCACCACAGGCACTGCTGTCCCTGTGGGGCTCACGGACCCCATGGAAGTCCTGTCTCCCCAGCCTGTGAAGCAGGAAGGCCAAACTGCTGAGGGCCTGACCCTGGACTCACCATGGCACCGCTTTCGCCACTTCCATCTGGGTGACGCACCGGGCCCCCGTGAAGCCCTGGGCCTGCTGCGCGCCCTATGCCGAGACTGGCTGCGGCCTGAGGTGCACACCAAGGAGCAGATGCTGGAGCTACTGGTGCTGGAGCAGTTCCTGAGCGCCCTCCCTGCTGACATCCAGGCCTGGGTGTGCAGCCGGCAGCCCCAGAGTGGGGAGGAGGCTGTGGCCCTGCTGGAGGAGCTCTGGGTGAGCGCAGGGTTGGCAGGGGATGGGGAGGTGGTTGGGGGTGCTGCTCCTGCCCAGGTCCCTCTGCTGCCACCTTGCCTGGCTGGATGCTGGCCTCCCCCATCACCGCCTTGCCTCTGCTCTCCAGAGGGCTGCTGGTCCCTGTAAGCAAACTGATGAGGGTGGGGAGGCTTTGGGGCTGTGTGAACATCTAGCTGGGAGCACAGTGCAAAGGGGTGGTCCTTGAGACCCCCCTGACTCTCCCAGCAAGTTTGGGGTCCCTGAAACTGCCCTCCTGTTCAATGATTCAGGAGAAGGACCCAGAACTGTCTGAAAGCCATCTTGCTCACAGAGTTTTCATGGCAGAAGGACGCAGATTTGGTCAGCCAAGGGGTGGAGGTGCAGGGCTCCAGGACAGCCCTGTGCACAGCCTCCAGCTGTCCTCTCACAGCGATGTGGATGGCCTTGAGGCCTGGCTGTAGCATGTGCATGCAATAGTGCCAGCTGGGGTGGCTTCTTGAGCTTTGGTGCTCTGAGTATTTTGTTGGGGCTCCATGGTTGCCAGCATGACCCCTTGGCCTCAAACTTCCCTGGAGGCCGAGCAGATACTGGGTGTCTGAAAGTCTCCGTCATAACCTATGCTGTTGGACTGTCCAGTGTGGCCTGAGGCCCCCACACAAACATCCTATCAGGTAGAATGCTCCAGGGGCTTAGAGGTCACCTCTTGGTGGTTGAGGGCAGAGGCCAACCTTCTCCTTGGACAAGGCTAAACGCTTTACTGAAGAGAAGGGGTCACCTGATCGGAGCCTGTGGGCCAGGCCTGTCTGTCCCCTGGCCATTCTTATGGAGTGTGACAGAACCTCACAGGTGCACAGCCCAGCCCATGTGTTCACACAGTGCCTGTGGCTCTTTTTTCACAAGGACTGAGTGGGACAGTGTGGAAGTAGACAGATGGCCTGGCCTTTAAAACTAAAAACCTTTACTCTTCTGTTGTAGGAACAGCCCACTGATTCCTTTTAAAGCCACGTTGTCCAGTGAGAAACAGGATGTGAGCCCTGTCAGTAACCCTGAACATTCCAGGGGATTTTTAGAAAGGGTGAAAAGGAAGAAGGGGACTTAATTTATTGAACTCAGGGTAGCCAAGCTGTTGCAATCTCGGCAGGCGGTATTTGTCACCTTTGTGAGCGCTCAGCAGCCACATGTGTCTGTGCGGTGAGTGGTAGCAAGGTGTGCAGACAGCCAGGAGGAGGGTGACCAGGCTGAGGGAGCAGCCAGTGCACAGGCTTCGAGGTTGTGAAGAGGTTGGCAGGCATGGATGTGTGCACAGCATGAGGTTGGAGGCCAGGGGACAGTGGGGAGGAGGGTGTGAGGAGTCAGAAAGAGGGCAGAACATCCACTGTGAGTGCCTATGGCACCCATGTCAGGTGCTAGGGACGCAGCCGTGGTCTTGTTGGCCCCTTTCTCCTTTCTGGTCTGGCTCCAGCTGATACACTCTCCCCCACTTCCTGGGATGAGCTTCACCTCTCTGTGTCCTCCCCTTGCAGCTCTTCTCTGGGTCATTGTTCCCTGTCGCCACCAGGCACCACCTTAACACATCACCACCGATGCCGCCCCTTAAAGACGACCCAGACTCACTTGGAGTTCTGGAGGCCAGGAGTCTGACTCGGGTCTGCCTGAAACCTAGGTGTGGGCAGGGCTGTTCCTTCTGGAGGCTCCAGGGAATAATTTGTCCCCGCTTCCAAGGTCACATCTTCTCCTGACCCTGACCCTCACAATGGTACTGGGCCTAGTATCAGGAGCCTAATTCAGTCACACCTGCAGAGTCCCAGCCCTTTGCCACATGAGGCCACAGAGGTCACAGTCAGGAGCTCTGGGATCAGGATGTGGACACCCTCAGGGCACCGTCTGTGCTTGCTGCAGAGGAGTTGGAAGTGGTGTGGGAGCATGGCGTCAGAGTCTCACGGGATTGTGGTTCCCAGTGATTTTCCAACTGCTTCAAGAGGAAATGACCCTGCGCACCAGGGAGTTGTTCTCTCCCTCTCTGGTAAGAGAGCACTCTTAGGCTTGGAGCTGTCCACAGGAGCGGTGGACCGGGATGGTGCTGTCCTACATGATCGCACAGAACTGTTGGTGACACCTCTGCTGCTGTTTTGTTTGTTTGTTTGTTTGTTTTTTAAGATTTTATTTATTCATGAGAGACAGAGAGAGAGAGAGAGGCAGAGACACAGGCAGAGGGAGAAGCAGGCTCCATGCAGGGAGCCCGACACGGGACTCTTTTTTTTTTTAATTTTTATTTATTTATGATAGTCACAGAGAGAGAGGCAGAGACACAGGCAGAGGGAAAAGCAGGCTCCATGCACCGGGAGCCCGATGTGGGATTCGATCCCGGGTCTCCAGGATCGCGCCCTGGGCGAAAGGCAGGCGCCAAACCGCTGCGCCACCCAGGGATCCCACCGACACGGGACTCGATCCCGGGACTCCAGGATCACGCCCTGGGCTGAAGGCAGGCGCTAAACCGCTGAGCCACCCAGGGATCCTCTTCTGCTGCTGTTTAAAGCAGAAGGCGTGAAGAGTGACCGTAGCCTGGGTGTTAGGCCATTGCATTCAGACTGTGCAGACTGTGGCAGAAGGACCTGTAAAGCTGGAGTCTGACAAACGCCTCAGGACGAGGGTGTCTCTGGTGTGTGGGTTCTTGCCTATGCTCAGCAGAGCCTTCCCTGATGCGTTCTGCATGTGCTGGTGTCAGGCTGTGGCTCCAAACCCTGGCTACTTGGAACGTGGGAACTTTGAGGGACACTGTGGCAGGGTCTCATACTCAGGTGCTTACTCTCTTGTTACCAGGTATGAGTGGCCATGGTTTCAGTGTATTTTTAACTGTTTTGTCGGGGGGGGGGGGTGTACAGTTTTTTGCCATGTCAATACATGGTAGCTAATTGTAGCCACTGCCACAGTCAGGATATAGTGTTATGGTCTCACTGTGGGCCCTGCATGTCACCCTCACGGACTCCCTCACCCCAGAACCCTACATGCCACCCTCACGGGCTCCTCACTCCTGGGTCCCATGTGCCACCAGTCCACAGTCCGTCTTCTAGGGAAGTACATAAAGGACCCACAGTGTGCGAGCTTTGAGGACTGGTCTTTGGTTCAGCAGGATGCCTGTGAGATTGACACGGGTGGTTGAGTGGGTCAATAGTTGATTCCTTTTTCATGCCAATAGAATCTCGTGGTGTGGGTACACTAATTTCTCTGTCCTTCTCTCATTGAAAGGCTCAAAGGTGGTCTCCAGTGTTGGGTGATGTTGAATACAACTGCTTTAAATACTTGGGTGTGCATCTTTGTGTGAACACGAGTTCTCTTTTTTCCAGAGTAGATTGCCTGGAGTGCAGTGGTTGAGTTTTATAGCAGGTGTGTGTGGTTTTAGGAGAAACTGCCAAACTGCTTCCTGAAGGGGCTGTGGCATCTGTCCGCCACCCCAGCAGTGTGTGAGCTTCCATAGTTCTAAGGGCTCTTCTTGGTTCCTCAGATTCCAAGGGGCCAAGAGAATCCCTCCATGGCTGAGCTGGCCTCATGGAACTCGTTACTTTTTCATGGTGTGTCTAGCAGTGACTAGCACGTAGGCTCTCAGGCTCCGAGGCCATGTCTTTCTTGTTCTCCAATGTGTACTTGGTCCTTTCGGTAGTTCCTGATATATAGTAGGTGCTCAAAAAAGTGCTTGCCAGGGAGCAGTGAGTAGCCTACCAGGCCTCTCTTCATCCCACCCTTAGAGAAGAGGTTTGATTCAGGCAGGGAGTGCGCAGTAGAGGGAGAGCCTGGTCTGTTCCACAGGTGAGGGAAGGAGGTGCGGGGAGATGGACGGGGCAGGACCAACTTGGCTGTGGTCAGTGACCTGCATTTGTTCTCAGGCACACAATAGCCAAGGGGTCGCCTGTCTGCCGGCCCAAGAAACCCAAAGGCAAGCTGGTGGGCAGGCAGGCAGGGGGGGCTGGGAGAGCCCTGTCTGGTCAGCACAACAGGAAACGCTCACTGGTCTGCACCTCTGAGGTCAGCACTTGGGGGCCTCCTGGGGCTGTGAGGGCAGGCCGCAGCATAGGAAGGGAGCACGGGTCAGCTGTCACATGTGAAAGCCAAGGTTGGTGGAACTGGCAGGGCTAGTACACCGGAAGGTGAGGGGAGCAGCGTGCCTGGAGTGGTGAAGGTGGGCAGCCTGCTCGGGGTTCCGGGTAGCCGGCAGGGCTTGCTGCAGTGATGAAGCCAGGTGGTCTGCAGGACTTGGGCCAGACCCTGCATCTATGGGGCAGAAACATCCTGCTGACTTAACATGGCCTGCCAGGGCCGTGGTCTGGCCTCCTGCCTTCACTCTCCCACTCCTCCCTGCTCTTCCTTCCCCCAGCCTGGTGGAGCTGGAATAAATATGTGACCGAGGAAGTTCACACTTGAACTTGTGTCCTAGGTGCCACAGATGCTTTCTGCTGGCAGCTCAGTGTGTCATGCTCAGGGGTTCCCCCAAAGACACCTTGCTTTGATACCACCTGCAAGTTCAGGGGTCCCCAGGACCAGCCTGGGTTCAGGAATTCATGCAAAGGACTCAGGACTTGATGAGAGCTGGTGTGCTCACAATTCAGATTCGTTTCCGTGAAGGGATGCAGAGTACAATGAACTGAGGGGAGTGGCACTCAGGGCAGGATGCAGGAGACCCCCTCTCCGGGCGGCGCCATGGGAACAGCACCAAGTAGTGTTGCCCATGCTGACCATGGAGGCTCCTGAGCCTGGTGTCCAGGGTTTTTATTTAGGGTCAGCTGTATAAACACGGCTGACTGCACCATGGCTGACGCTAGCCTCCAGCTCCTCTGGAGGCTAACCCCACCCCCACCCCCCGCCCTCAGTGCCTGCCTCAGGGCCCCGACCTCATCCCTGTGGCCACTCTGCCTGGATATCTTCTTGTGGATTTGGTCTCTGCAGTCTAGCAACCCATGTCTGGGACCCCAAACCAGAGACCCAGGACATTCAGAGGAGGGAAGGTTTCAAACTTATATGTACCCTAGAATCTTCTGGAGAGCCTGCTTGCACTACCGCTTCCCAGGTTCTGTTCACGGGTGTGCCGACCTAGCTGCAGCAGAGGCCAGGAATGGCGGGCACCTGCCACACGTCCTGCTCCTGCCCTGCTGCACCTGGGCAGATGTCACCGGTGGGTTACAGGAGCCCCACTGAGGGTCAGGGAGCTGGGGGTTCCTATGCTGTGCCCTCAGCATCTGCCAGCCTGTGTCAGGACTCAGGGTGAGACTGAGTACCACCTCAGCCCCTCTGCACTGACCCCAGGGCGGGAAGTGCCTTGCTCAGGGTCCCACAGGCAGCGGCTGCTCTGTGACTGGAGACGTCTATGGATCTAGTTGGCCTTGTGCCAAACCCTGACTCTATGCTTCGGGACCCCCTTGACACCCTTTTCAGGGAATGTTTCTTTTCTTCTCTTTTCTCTTTTCTTTTCTCTTTTCTTTTTCTTTTTCTTTTTCTTTTTCTTTTTCTTTTCTTTTCTTTTTTGTTTTTAAGATTTATTTACTTATTCATTCAGAGAGAGAGAGAGAGAGGCAGAGACACAGGCAGAGGGAGAAGCAGGCTCCATGCAGGGAGCCGGACGTGGGACTCGATCCCGGGACTCCAGGATCACACCCTGGGTTGCAGGTGGCACTAAACAGCTGTGCCACCGGGGCTGCCCTCAGGGAATGTTTCTTCATCAGAGCAAAGGCAGTTTGACCCTTTTACCCATCCATTGTTCACTTGCTTGGTATCTACTGAGGACTGTCGTAAGAGGCACAGGAATTGGAACCCTCTCCATGGTAGTGGGAATGTGAAATGGAGCAGCCCCAAGGGAAGTGTGTGAGCTAGCAGTTCCACTCCTTGATGCACGTCCACACAAAACTTGTGCCTGATACGAGGTGAATGGCAATAGGGCAGCAGCCTCCCTGATTTAAGGCAAAAAGTGGAAATGACCCATGTGTCTGCTGGTGGAATAGATAAACAGAATGTGGTCCAGCCTCACAAGGGAACATTATTCAGCCACGTGAGGGACTGAAGCACTGACACTCTGCTGGAGTGACCGTCGAAGACGTGACGTAGAAAGGGGGAAGGAGCCAGTCGGAAGGAAATGCAGATTACAAGATTCCATTACTGCAACATCCAGAACAGGCAATTCCACACACACAAAAGACCTGGGGGTTCCCAGAGGTTGGGGCAGGGAAGGGAAGTGGCTGCTACTGGGTTTGAGATTTAGGTGCAGGTGATGAAAATATTCCAAAAATGGGGATGGTTGCACAACTTTGAATATGCTAAAGTCCACTGATTTTACTTCCAGTGGGGAAATTCTGCAGTAGGTAAATTATGTCTCAGTATAGCTGGTATTAAAAGAATTGGCACTAGGGATACCACGGAAGGCAGGCCAGTCCCTGACCTCCTGGAGCCCACAGTCTATAGGAGGAGATAGGCAAGCACAGGCATAAAAATACAATTATGACAGTTCAATTGGCTCTGTTGGGAAGGTCTCCTGAACATTTCAGGAATAAGAGATACCAACTCAGACAAACTTTCCAAAAATTGAAGAAGGTATACTTCCCAGCTCCATCTGTGGGCAAAACCAAAGACACTGTGAGAAAAGAAAACTATAGGCCAATATCCTTAATCTCAAAATAATTATGTTGCATGAAAGACAACCCGCCCCCCCGTAAGAGTACCTATTTACTCTGTGGTTCTATATAAAGTTCTAGAATATGAAAACAGCCCTTTAGCAATGGAAAGCGTGTCAGCATTTGCTGTCTTGTAATGGTGGGGAGGCAGAGACACCACAAATGTACATAAGGAAACTTTCAGGGGCTGATAGGGTCACCATCTTGGCTGTGATGGTGGTTTCATGAGTATACATGTTGAAACTGTATTGTATGCTTTAAATGTATGCATTTATTGTCCATCCATTATAACCTCAACAAAGCTGTTGAAAAGTGCAGTGTGATAGGCACCAGGATATAGGGGCTGTTGCTAAATCACATGGAGTCATAAACCTGTGGGTGGTGGCAGGGATGGGGCTTCAGTCAAGTCCTGAAGGACATATAGGAGATAGGGAAAGGGGGATGGAAGAGGGAGTTCCAGGTAGAGGGAACAGAATGTGCCAAAGAGTGGAGGTTTGAGAGAACCTGGCATGCTCAAGGCACAATTAGCTTTCTACTGTGGACTTCTAGGCAGGGACCTGGCCAGAGGTGGGGCTGCAGGAGGGGGTGGGGCCAGGGAACTCTAGCCTGTGGGCCACAGCAGAAGCAAGCAGTGGGTCAGTATCTGTGGCACCCTAACATCCTGAGCTGCATGAGTGGTCAGGAGCCAGTTTACAGTCTGCTAGAGCAAAAAGATGACCACGTAAAATATTCATCCTGCCACCACCAAACATGGGCCTTCACAGATCTCAAATGGTGCACGTTTGGGAAAGGCTCTAGAAGCTCCCTGTAGAATCTTCTTGCTATTTGTTAGATTTTTAGGCATTAACTGACTTCCATCCTAATCATTGCAATTGAAAGAAGTAAAATATGAGAAGAGGATTGGATGTGGAACTCAGGAGTCAACTCTCCTTTATCAGCAGCAGGATTCTCATCTGTCCCTTGGGGACAAGGGCTTCAGAAACAATGGCAATAGCATAAAGACACCTAAAATAGCCTGAAACATTTTCAGTAACCTTTGGTGTTCCTCCCTGGCACCATCCTGCTCAGAAGTGGGCCACCGTTTGAGCTGGGAAGAATTCCATTCCTGAGCTTACTTTTTTTTTTCCTGAGTTAGAGATAGCTAATGTGTTTTTCTTGTGTATTTTGTCAAGAAGTTTGCACTTTATCCAGAGGGCAGTAAGAAGCTAAGGTAAGATTTAAAGCAGTTTTATCAGTTTTCTGTTGTTACATAACAGATCACCCCAAACTTAGAGGCTTGCAACAATAAACATTTGTTGTCTTAGTTTCTCTGGGTCAGGAATTTGGGGCTGATCTGACTCAGGGTCTCTTATGAGGGAGTCACCTGGGGGCTGGAGGGTCTGCTCCCCAAATGGTTCCTTCCATGGTGACTGGCAAGAGGCCTGGTGACTGCTTCCCTGGGAGTACATGATAGGACTTGATGACTGTCTAAATGTAGTAGGGGTTGTGGGGGAGAAAAATTATAGGCTGTTGCTATGGTTTCTCATTTCTGAGTGTGGTATCTCTCATTTCAGGGACCAGCGGTGAGGGCACCTCAGGATGTGGCAGAAGGCTCCAGGGTGAGCGTTGGAAAAGATGATGGTGGGATGGTGCCCTTAGGTGAGTAGCTCATTTTCTCTCTCACCCTGAGAGGGTCCCCCTCCTGCCTGCCCATCATGCATTTGCTCAGTGAACATTCCTGTGTCCCTGCTGTGGAGGGCACAGAGGGGTCAGACAGGATAGCACACTCAGCAGTGCAGTCAGCTGTTGGCATGTGCCAGGTACCATTCTGCCAGCTCCCCTGCTACCTATGGTGCCACATGGGAAGGGGCCCCTACATAAACGTTTTTTTTCTCAAGAAAAGACAGAAGTTTGGATTTTTATGACACTGCCTGATTTTCCAACGTTTTTTACAATTTTTTTTTTTTAACAAAGATGGTCTTTTTCTAAAAAAATATTTTATTTATTTATTCATGAGAGGCAGAGACGTAGGCAGAGAGAGAAGCAGTCTCCCTGCAGGGAGCCCGATGTGAGACTCCATCCTGGGACCCTGGGATCACGACCTGAGCCAAAGGTAGACACTCAACCACTGAGCCACATAGGTGCCCCCGTTTTTTACATTTCTAAATATGCTGTTATGCACCAAGCCAGCACCTCCTTTGGCTGGCCCACTGGTACACTCTGCTTTCTGGAAGCTGATGTCTAACAGTAGAAACCCAAGGTCCCAAGAGCTCAAGCAGCTTGCCTAAGGCCACACAGCAAGTCAAGGCCAGAGTGAGGGTGGGGATGGTGGCTTCTACCCAATAGTAGTGTCTCTACACCCACCACACAGGCCAGGATGCCAAGGCTTGGGACCTGGTGGTTGGCGTGGAGAAATTGTGTGGGTGGGGGGCAGGAGGTTCACACTTTTTTGTTGCCCTGTTACTGTTTTTTGTAGACTGAATCATGAGCTGGGTCTTGTGAAGTAAATCAGACAGAAGCCCATTGCTTATCTCCCTGGAATTCCCTAGAGCAGTTTAAAAACTTAGAAATGTGAGGTTCATTTAACCACCTGACTTACTCACCCCTCCATTTGTCTACCCTGATGCCCACTCAGACGCCACCCACCCCCCTCACACATCATGCAGTCAACCCACCACCCACCTAGATACTATTTACCCATCCCTGCTCATTCATTCATCTGTCTCCCCTTTGTCCCCACTCTCTCATCCATCCATCCCCGCACCCCATGCACTCTACACACCTCTCCACCTACTGTCCACCCACCCATCTGTCCATCATCCATCCCCCCACCCACTATTGCCCATCAGTCTGGCTCCTTGCTCATCCATTGGCCTATCTCCCCACTGTCCTCCTCCTCCATCCATCTAGACATCCATCTGCCCACTCACTGGCCCACTCCTTCATCCATCCATCCATCCTCCAGCCAACTATCCGTACCCTCTTCCATCTCCTCCCCCATCCACCTACCACCTATTGACCTGCCTTCATGCATCAAGCTCGCATCCATGCATCCACACATGCATCTATTTATTAGGCTGACTCTGCACTGTGTACTGAGCACTGTGCTGGGTCCCAGGGACACAGGGATGGTAAGCCCGCAGTCAGTCTTCCTCCCCAGCCATGGTTTCCCGGCACTGAGTTTTCCCCCCCAACCCTGACACGGACCATAATCCCGGAGCTTCTCCAGCCAGCTGTGCCCTGCACCGCCCTGCGGAGTGCAGAGCCACCTGCCCTCACTCTGTGCCTTTGCCTGACAGGAGATGCGGCCTCCGGGGTTGAGGTGCTGGCAACGGGGGATGCCCAGGCCCTGCGCCCCTACAAGCAGGAGCCAGGCAGTCCTCCACCGGCCCCCGCGGCGCCCCCTGCGCCCGGCCTGCCTGCCTTCCTGGCCGCCCCAGGCACTACCTCCTGCCCCGAGTGCGGCAAGTCTGCCCTGAAGCCCGCCCACCTGCTGCGCCACCGGCAGAGCCATTCGGGTGAGAAGCCGCACGCCTGCCCCGAGTGCGGCAAGGCCTTCCGGCGCAAAGAGCACCTGCGGCGCCACCGCGGCACGCACCCTGGCGGCCCTGGGCCGGCCCTGCGCCCGCTGCCCGCGCGTGAGAAGCCGCACGCCTGCTGCGAGTGTGGCAAGACCTTCTACTGGCGCGAGCACCTGGTGCGCCACCGCAAGACGCACTCGGGGGCACGGCCATTCGCCTGCTGGCAGTGCGGCAAGGGCTTCGGGCGCCGTGAGCACGTGCTGCGCCACCAGCGCATCCACGGCCGGGCGGCGGGCGGTGTGGGCGCGGCGCCCGGGCCTGGGAGCGGGGCCCCCTTCCCGGCCTGGCCCCTGGGGTAGCCACCGCCCGCCGGCCCCTCTTGGCCCACAGCCCTCCTCCTACGCTGGCTCCTGTCTGAACTGGCGGGCGCTCTCACCTTCTGTTTCCTCTGCTCTTTCTGTCCTGGTCCACGCTTCCCTGTTGGGTTCTCGCAGCCTCCCAGCCCCTCCCATTCTGTGCAGGTGCATCCATAAACCCCGCCTCTCTCTTCCCTCTTCACGTGCCGCCTGGGAGCCCAGGAGCAGAGCACAGGGCAGGGGCGGCGGGCAGGCCCTGGATCCAGAGGAGACCAAGGAAGGTGACCCCTCTCCAGTGGGGGAGGGCAAGGGGAAGGGGCGATGCCTCTGACGGGGTGGACCGGGCTCTGCTAGTGAGCTCCTTGATCTTGCCCCTCTCTGCGGTTGGGAAGGCATGTGATGGACAGAGATGCCTGTTCCTGGGAAGCCTGGCGGAGACAATTCACCAGCATCTGGAGAGTAATAAAGTTATTGATGAGAGGTGTGGACGGAGTCCTAGTTCTGTGTGGACGGGCCCCACCTCGGATCCCCAGTTCCTCTCCTTGAGCCTGGAGAGGAGCTGCAGGAGTGGGTTTCATCAATGGAAGGGACCGGCCTGGTGCCAGACCCCACTGGGTTCTAATCTCCACCTGTGGCTTCCTGGCTGCAGGAGCTTAGGTCATAGCCTAGGTCATAGTTGCTCTGGGCCTCCATGTGCACATCTGTAAACAGTGATTCCCATGTCCATTGCTGGAGTCTTCACTGGGGGAAGCCACCTATTCACGGGGGCCCAAAATACCAGTATCAGTAGGTTTTGGGTAACCTACTTTGCCAAGAGAAGAATCCACTGGGGCATGAGCTTGGGGGCCAGGGGTCTGGGACCCCGAGAGGGGGTGGTGGGGGACTTGGGGGGGTGGCTCACTGTTGAGTGCAAAGCCTCCCCTGGCCAGCCTCATCAGTCCCCACCCCTACCTAGCTCCCCCCCTGCCCCCCTCTCCTTAGTTCAGGACAATCCTGAGATCCAAACCCTGGTGTTTTCTCTTTAGCAAGATGCTGGTGCACCTGACCAGTTAAACCCAGGCCATGGCCCATCCCCTAGCTATAAGGAAGTCTGGGAGGGCAAATAACTAGACTGTCAGGCATCTGTAGCTAGAGGCTGGCACCCCACTTCAATGACCTGTGAGGCAGGACAGTCCCCAAACAACTGGGGGAGGTTTGGGCACCAAGCAGTCTCAAGGAATGCCATGTGTCTGCCAGGGTGCCCTGGTCCAGCCCCTAGGTGTCAACAAGCACCATGTGGGGGGTGGGGGTGGGAAGGGTGGGTAGGAGGTCCAGGGGGGCAGTGTGTACACACACTGCTTGCCAACACGAACACCCACAGGCACGTTCATCACAGCACTGCATCACCGCACCCACTATCCAGCAGAGGAAACCGGTGTGGAGAAGCCTCTGCGTCTGCTGCTGCAAAATCTCAGGAGGGTACTGGGGGGAGCATGCAGGGGTGGGGTGAGGTCTGAGGAGGGGGCTCCAGTGATAGATGGCAGGATAAACTGCCACTGGCTGTGGGGCAGGTCCCGTGTCAAGTGTTGAAATCTACCATCTGATTTATCACTACAGTCCAGTGAAGTAGTCATGTTACACAGATGGGGAAACAGAGGCATGGGAAGGGTAAGTGGCTGGCCGTGGTCATGGATCTGAACTGGGTGGTCCGACTCCACTGCGCTGACCCTGCTCCTCATGCCCCCAGCTCCAGCTCACTCAGGGCTCCCCACCTCTGTCACCAGTGCCAGCACTCCTTTGGCTGTTGAGGCTCTACACCTGATGAGCTCCCCTAGGCCCTGATTTCCTCAGGGGAGCCCTTTGACATACATGCCTCCCATCAGTGTGGACTGCTGATGAGGGTGTGTTAGCCCTGCTCCCCCTTGTGTCACTCAGAAAGCAAAGTCCCCATGAGCCCAGGTCCTGGTTAGGATTGGGGAACCAAGACAGCTAAGGAGATGCAGAAGTGGGCACTGGGGTGTTCACCCCCTTGGTACCTACCCCGGGGGTGTGTCCATCCGATCAGCTTCCACATCCCAGAATGACATGTCTCCAAGACTTGGGAGCAGCCCCTCAACAGGAAGGAGATGCTGGATGGCTGAAATAGAAGGCCCCTTTGCAAGGCCAAGAGCAAACGTTGCGCCAGCTGGTGGGGGTGCAGAGTGGTGCAGACAGGACCCCATGGTGGTTCTCCATCCCACCCCCAACTCACCACAGGCACCAGTGTCCATCTCCATGTTGCTTGGGGGGCAGTGAGTAGGAGCCTCCTAAATGTCCATCTCTGGGAAAGTGGGGAAGAAGGGGTGCACCCCCATTAGGAAGAGCCCCGAACTCGAAAGTAACATTGAGGGGTGCCTCCTTATGAAATATTGCTAGAGCATTAACAAGTCCTGTGTGAGGGTCACGTTGTAGATGAAACCATTTAACTAACAATTGTTTGGAAGCTGTCATTTACCACTCCTGCCAAGTCCCAGGTTAACCTGCATAAGGCCGGTTCAGGTGTCTGTTTTTGTTCACTCTGATAGACAAGCTTCCCCCAGGTGTTAGGGTTTCCTGTCCTGCGGGGTGTTCACCAGTTTGCATGCAGCAGCCACACTCTCCCGCCAGCCAGATGGTCCCACTTCTTGCATTCCTCTTCCTGGCGAGGTCTGGCATTCTGGTGGGCTGTAAGTGAGCTAAACAAAACAGGGCTCTGCACAGGCTTTGGTAGTGGTGGGGAGGCAAGAATGGAGACTCTGCATGCGAAAAGCAGTAAGCAGGTAAACCAGCAACATGCCCCGCAGTTGCCACCGTGATCAGGTGCAAACCCCCAACTCCGCTCCTTACTTGCTTGTGAAGGGGTGAATAGCAGGAGTGCCCAGGTCCTTCCTCATCGGGGTCTGTGTGGTGGGTGCCTGCTCACTGGTCCCTTGAATCCATTCTGATCTCACTTCTAAGATATACCCTTCAGCTGTATCCTTCTTCATCTTTGTCACCTACCTGCTTAAAACCTACTTCTTGGCTCCGGGGACGGCACTGGGGTATGAGGAAGAGCTGAGAACAGAGATGTGTGAAGCCAGTGCAATTCACCTCCACCATATTTTCTTAGCCAAAGCAAATTGCAAGGCCACTCTGCATCCAAGCCCCCAAGTCCTGATGAGGGAGTCGTAGAGTCATGTTGCAAATGGTTGGATGTGCAACCCCTCTGGTAAACCCTGTCCCATTTGTTCAGAAATCTTTAATAAGTACCTGTTGTAGACAGGTATCATGTCAAGTGGCCCATGGAAACAGCAGTGAATCAAGAAGTCCCTGTCTGGCTGAGCTGACACTCTAACCGCCCAGGGCATGTTTGGGGGCAGATGGTGGAGACCGGGGAGTCGGGAAGGTCAGAGGACAGGCTTGGGTGAGGCCTGGGGAAGACCAGAGAGGAAACAACCAGATCCAAGGCCTGGGGGGCAGAGAGGGCCTGGTGTTGGGAGGAGGCCAGTGTGCCTGGAGCGAGGAGGGAGGGGAAGATGAGTAATGAACGCCTGGGCTGACAGGAGAGGTTAACTATATTTTCAGGACTCTGGGAAGCCGCTGGAAGGTTTTGGGCAGGCACTGCATTATTCTGTTTGTATTTTAAGAGCAATATGGCAAACAGGTGGTGGGGGTGAGGGGGCAGGAAGAGGATGAAAGCAGGACATTCAGAGGCGTTGCTCAGAGTTGATAAGATGCAGGTGAAGGTGAATCCCTTCTGGGAAAAAGAACAGTGTCCTCCACGTCCTCACTCATGACCTTGGATCCAACCATGTCCCCTAGTCTCTGATCATGCAAACAGGAAGATGAGTAGTACATTGGGGCATGGCTGCATGATTAAGCAAATAGGCTCCAGAGTCCAAATACCTGGATTTGGATCTGGTTATTTACTATCTGTGCAATTTTGGAAAAGTTACTTAACCTCTCTGAGTCTCCATGCTTGTCATTGGTTTCACAAGAGTAATATCAACCCCATACAGTTATCAGGAGAATTCAGTGAGGTCAGGTGCACAACGTCTTTAGCACATCACTTGGAGTCCAATTAGTGCCTACGATTACTATAAATACAATCATGATATTGGATAAAGGCACCTTTCCACAGTGGGTCCCTTCCCAGCCTGCTGTATAGGCAGAGTCTCAATACTTAATTATTCTCATGACAACTCCGTGAAGATATTTATTATTATTTTTAAAAAATCATTTCTAAAAATGAGGAAATCAACAGTTGGCTATCTAGGAAGTGGCAAAGCCGGGATTCACTGGTTCTGGAGCTCTCTTTCCTTTTTTTTTTTTTTTTTAATTTTTAATTTATTCATTCATGAGAAAGAGAGAGAGGCAGAGACACAGGCAGAGGGAGAAGCAGGCTCACCATGGGGAGCCTGATGTGGAACTCGATCCCTGGACCCTGGGATCACAACCTGAGCCGAAGGCAGATGCTCAACCACTGAGCTACCCAGGGGTCCCTGGAGCTCTCTTTCCAATGTCCCTTTCTTGTACACCGAAGACACAGAGCAGCCTGGGGAATGAGAGATGCCAGGACAATAAGGCATGCAAAGGTGCTGAATTCCAGGGTGGGGAGCCAGTTAAAAACCACTGACTATCCCCTCACCCCCATCACAGAGCCCAAGGGGAAGTTTCAGTTTCATCCTCTAATCTTGAGCATCAGAGGGTTTCTAAGGCAGGGGTTCCAAGTGATGTAACAGGGGCTAAAGAAGCTGCAGAGAGGGGTGTACAATAGGGCCTGGTGAGGTCTGTGGTGATCCAGAAAGAACACACTCTATCAAAAGCTGCTCCTCAGCCCTGGCAGGTGGACCCAGTGTTTACAGACCTCTGACACATTGAGGGAAGCCAGAGATCCAGATCGTTATGTGAAATTCCTGAACTCTACATGCTGGTGACTCAGCCTGCAATTCTTCAAAAACACCACAGAGGAACCAAAAACAGATGAAAAGAAAACATAAAGCAAACAAGCTGACACACCTGAAGCGTGCCCAACAGTCTGGTTAGGGCTACCTCTTTGCAACATCTGACGTGATTCCTCAGTTTACCAGTGAAGCAACGGAGATCCAAAGATCTGTTGTGTCTCTCCCACAACTGCATGGCAGGCCAGTGAGATGTGAGGATGTCGGAGAGAGGGCGACTAGCTGAGTCCTTCCTTTTGGGAGTGTAGGGGTGGGGTGAAGTGGTGGACACAGAGGTGGAGAACCCAAAGGTATTGGAACAACACTGATCTTTGGGTTATGGGCAGGAAAAGGAGTGAGGTCTTAATCCTAACCAAGTTCCCAACCCCATGGGGCACCTGGGTGGCTCTATCAGTTGGATGTCCAACTCTTCGTTTTGGTTTGGGTCGTTATCTTAGGGTCCTGAGATCGACCCCTGCATCAGGCTTTGCACTCAGTGGGGAGTCTGTTTCTTCCTCTCCCTCTGCCTCTCCCCCTGCTCACATGTGCATGCACCCGCTTGCTCTCT